AATTTATACTTATATTTTTAAGAATATATTAATATATATTATATCTATAATGTAGATAAAAATATTTTTAATAATAAATATTGTACCACTATAAAATATATATATATATATATATGTGTGTGTGTGTGTGTGTGTATGTACTTGGAGGATCACATTGGTCACATGAAAGAGCACATGACACACTCTATCGGTCATTGAGATGGTCGAGACAAAAAGTGTTTTTCAAAGTACAGTAGTATCGGGCATGTCGGCCATCGATACAGCCGGAATGTAAGGACTTCTACATCACATGGTTTAGCACGGGCTCTCGGATGGCCGAACCTATAAGGTCTCTTGTGCCCAAAATGTCGAATTCCGGACCATATTAGTAACCTAACTAGTCAGCCAAATAACGTCTCGGTCCGGTCAGAGGTCAAGACCCGAAGACAGTTTTGTACAAGACGCCTATACTTAGACGATCCTTTACCTCTCGGCTCGGCCAACGACCGAGACGACTAAATACTGCAATTAGAACAATGATCACGATTAACAAGGACAAACACATGATTAAGGCATAATCAGTCATTTAGCACCGTATTACCTAATTTGTCAAATGTCAGAAGAGACCTACCACACTCAGGGCCCATTACAACCAGTATAAATAAGTCACATAAAACGAGGTATGTTACGGTTCATTAATTACTATCGATACTTGTATTGGTCTTGACTTGAGCGTTGAAGTGTTTTTTGCAGATACTCTCCCCACCTTTAAAGCATTCATTCAGAGCTCTCGTTCAACCTTTAGACTTAAAAGATTACGAATGTACCTTTAAACAGATACATATATATATATATATATATATATATTAATGCAATTTATTTTTGTAGTGTATCGAGAATAAAATCAATCTACATATTATATAAATATTTAATAATACTGAATAAATATTGTGACCCTGTAAGCTTGACTTCCCTGAATTGGATCGAACTGTCCCGAGTTTAGACCAAACGGATTCAAAAAAAATAAAAATAAAACTTAAATTTTATTAACCTGTCACTTTTTTTTTACGTCCATTCCATTATCGATCTATTTTAACACTAATAAATGAGGAATATATAGTATATTATAATCAGAGCACTAGTGAAGTTTTAATTAGAAAAACATAATTAGAAAAACCTAATAATCATTTTTCACGGCAATAAGTGACATCAATCCATCAATCTATTCTTACACGAGAATAGTTTTTAATTATAATTCAATGAACCAAAAACATAAAAAATACATTAAAAATAACAAATTTCTTTGTAGCTAAAATCATTTGAAAACTATTCTAACAAGTACAAGTAGTATGTTGATTCCAACATTTGTCCCCCACGGCCACATGGGAATCCACTTCCGCCATTTGCTAACGTAAAGACAAGCTAGGTTTCTTTCTATGGTAACGAATATGTGGCTTTAACAAAAACTATATGTGACAATTGAACATTGTAAAAAACACTAAAGCCAATTTAAATATTAAAGTGTGTGTGGACGTGAGAAGGTCCAAGTTTGTGTTACTTTGCGATATGACCAGTTAAATAATTTAAAAATCATTTCCTATATATAATATGGTAATTTGCATATGCATTGCATACAGTTTGTGAAGCTCAAGAGAGACATGATGGATTCAGAGACTGGTGGAGGTTGTTCTCCGACGGTGCAAATGGGAATATGGTGGTTCTCAGTGTTGATCTTTGTTGGGTATGTAATGGTTTGGATTATGATGCCTACAAACACCTTCTTTCTTCATTGGTTACCGCACATTCATGCAGAGACAGATTCAATATACTTCGGCAAACAAGGTTTGTCACTATAAATCAGATTCACTCTCTCTCACACAACACAAAAACTCTCTAATTAGTTATTAATTAGAACACAAAGATGACATGTAAAATGCATTTCTGGAAAGTTATATGCATAATTTATACGTTAATATTTCTCACAATGATTTTACAAGAGAGAAATAGGAAGGGTATACAGTGAGATAAGTAATATGTAACATAAAAAGGAAAACAAATCGTTAAGGTTTATAGTGAGGATAATATTCTTCTTAAGAATAATCTTAACTTGTTTTTGGATGAGATTTTAACATTTTAAGAAATTTAAAATACTTGTAATTTGAATTGCTTTTATATTTTGAGAAAATTAATCAAATGATTCATTATTTTACATTATTTAGGGAAAATTATTATTCACAAATTTTTATACATGTGACGAGAAGAATTACTTTTTAAAGGCGATAAGTATAAATAAGATAGTATTTATGTGTTATTATATTTTTTTAGTTATATTAAAATTAGCTAACCGTTGCTATATGTAAGTTATTTAAAAATTTTATAACATTATTACGTGTCAATAACATTTCTCATAAGAAAAAAAGCTATTTAAATTATAATGAACTTTGCAAAAGACATTAGTACTTCAGTCAAAAAGAATATTCCTAAAATATAAGAAATATAAAGTAATTTATGTTTGGTTGCACAGGGACATTCATACTGGTTTACACATTCCCAATTTTATTAATAGCCACTTTGGCCAGTCTATACTTTCATTTGGAGCAAAAGCGCTCTAATCGTCATAATACTAAAAAAAGGTACATTATTTCATACCTTCTTTTTTCATCACTTTCTTTTTCAAATTTCACTAACATTCATAAAGCCTGACCAACCTGATTTCTTGTTCTTAGCAGGGAGGGACTCTTAGGATTGGCATCATGGAAAAGACCATTGCTTGTAAATGGTCCTCTTGGGATAATCTATATGACAGAACTCTCTTTCATTATCATGTTTGTTTTACTATTAATTTGGTCCTTGTGCTCCTACTTACTTGACATGTTTGGTAGCGTGGCACTAGAGGCAGCTAACCAGAGAGTGCAAGTGTAAGAAAATAACTCATCACTCTTAATGTGACATGAATTTTCACATCGTTTGTCACCAAATTCAAATAACATTAATGATGGGTCTTGTTGCACAGGTGGGAAGCCAAGTTGGAATGTTCAGCCCTTGCTTTAGGCCTTGTTGGGAATATTTGCTTAGCTTTATTGTTCTTTCCTGTCTCAAGAGGTTCTTCAATTTTGAGGTTCATTGGCCTAACATCAGAGGGAAGCATCAAGTATCATATCTGGCTAGGACACATTGCAATGGCCCTCTTCACAGCTCATGGTCTAGGTTATATTATCTTTTGGGACAAGACACATCAAATCTCAGAGGTAATAAATAGAGTAAATTGCGGAGGTTTTATAAAATTACACAGACACTATATCACAATAATTTTCCTTAAAGTGTAATGTTTTTTCAAATAATTAAGGAGAGTTATTGAAAGGTAAATAAAATAGGAAGTTTTCTTACAATTTCACAAAGTCTCTGAGAGTGTAAGTGTAATTTACTCTAAATAATAATTTGTGCTTGAAATCAACTTGTTCAAAGTTAGTGTCCTTTTATATTTTCTTAGCCATTTTTCAGTCATAAAATAATACTAAGCCATCACAATCCACAAACTTTCATGCAGATATTGAAATGGAACAAAGTTGGCATCTCAAATGTAGCTGGAGCAGTTGCTCTACTTGCTGGCTTAATCATGTGGGCTGCTACCTTACCTTACATAAGGCGAAAAGCTTTTGAGCTTTTCTTCTACACTCATTACCTTTACATTGTCTTTGTAGTCTTCTTTGTTCTACATGTGGGATTTTCCTCTGCATGCATAGTGCTTCCAGGATTTTACCTATTCATGATTGACCGATACCTGAGATTCCTTCAGTCCCAGCAGAAAATTAGGTTGCTTTCTGCCCGTGTTTTGCCCTGTGAAGCTGTTGAACTTAATTTCTCCAAGAACCTAGGTGAATGGAAGACTCTGAGATGTTCTTTATGAAGTGTGTATATGGCTCCATTTTAAGTTAACAATTTTTTTGCCTCTTATTTTGCTATAACAGGACTGTGCTATGCTCCTACAAGTATCATTTTCATAAATGTTCCTAGTATCTCCAAGTTGCAGTGGCACCCTTTTACAGTCACCTCCTGCAGTAATACTGATTCTGATACCTTAAGCATTGTCATCAAAAGTTCAGGAACTTGGTCCCATTCTTTGTACCAGAAGCTATCATCTTCATCTCCAATATCCCACCTTGATGTCTCCATTGAAGGGCCCTATGGACCGGCTTCAACCTTTTATTCAAGGTACTGGAGACTTACCAAAGGAACCTTAATTTAATCTATGTTTTTTATGAATTTTGCTTTGGAAGATTTCAAATTCAAAACATAGGGTTCAATATAAACAAATAGAATTGAATTTCTATTTACCAATCAATCAGAAATCGTTAATAATATCAAAGTAGTTATTGTAAAAGTTAAGAAACTTCTTATATATAACAATTTGTGATTTGATGGCTCATGGTTGTGTAAAAACCGTTTGCACTATGATTGCATAGACTATTTACTATTTATTCAAATGATTATTCATTATGTTGGACTATTCACGAGACAAAACTTGGATAAAATTTTTCATGCAGGCATGAAATGCTAGTGCTGGTGAGCGGAGGTAGTGGTATTACTCCTTTCATTTCCATAATCCGTTCGTTACTCTTTAAGGCCAAATCTGAAGAGGGCAAAATTCCTAAAGTTCTTCTTATATGTGCCTTCAAGAAGTCCATTGATCTCACCATGATAGACCTCATCCTCCCAGTTTCAGCCACAGCCTTTGATATCTCAAGTCTTCAGCTTCAGATTGAAGCTTATGTAACCAGGGAGAAACAGCCAGACATGAATGACAGAAAGTTTATTCAAACATTATGGTTCAAATCAAATGCATTAGATGAACCAGTTTCTGCAGTCTTAGGACAAAACAGTTGGCTCTATCTTGGCATTATCATCTCATCCTCTTTTATTTTATTCCTTCTACTTATTGCCATCCTAACTAAATATTACATATATCCAATTGACCATAATTCAGACCTGATATACCCTTATTTCTCAAGGTCCAGTTTAAGCATGTTATTCATGTGTGTATCTATAGCCATTGTAGCAACAACTGCTTTCTTATGGAACAAGAAACAGAATAAGGATTTGGAGCAGATTAAAAACATCTACACATCAAATCCATCAGCTTCTCCGGGTTCAGGATACCAAAATGCTGACAAAGAATTAGGAAATCTTCCCCTCCAATCCCTTGTCCAAACAGCTAAAGTACATTATGGAGAAAGACCTGACATAAAAAGTAAGATTATTTTATTATGTTATCCCATAATTTTCAAATTAGTTAGTCATGGTCTTTCCTTCCTTGCAGTGTCATTTCCTGAACTTTTAGTTAAATTTATTTGTGTTGAATATATCAAAGTTTTCATCTGCATAACTGCATTTTATAAATAGTAATTTTAAACAGGAAAATTTTATTATCTGGCAGAAATACTCTCTGGCTGTGTTGCATCAAACATTGGAGTTCTTGTTAGTGGCCCAAGAAAAATGAGACATGAAGTAGCATCAATCTGTACTTCTTGCTCGACGGATGACCTACATTTCGAGTCCATTAGTTTCAGCTGGTGATCTATAAATGCTGTTTGCATTATTTTTGTTTGTTTCATACTCTTGTAATACAGCTTACAAAAGTGGCTATTCTGTCTGTATATGTTACGTAAAATGGATCACTTTGCTATGTATACCGTGATTAGTTAGGTAAAATTGTAGCTTCATGACTTGGAATGAACTCTGATCAATTTTATTATTCCTCGATCATATTTTTCATTAAAACAGGAAGTGAAAAAAAGTTCTTTATTTCTCAAATGCCAGTAATTTTTTAATGAAGTTCAGCAGTTCACAATAATTTACTCGACACAAACTGGGTCTGTTTGTACTTGTACTGCCTGGAAGAGAGACAATAATTTCACTTTTCCAAAACTGGGTCTGTAAAAAATGTAGTTCTCCAGTGTTGAATCTCAATTTTTCCATACAAAATTCTATAGATGACACCTTAATTTCCCCTCCCCTTCAATGCGTGGATAGTCATTAAATGTTCTCATAATGGGTGTGTTTGTTTAAACTTAAAAATAAATATTTCTAAAGAAGTGTTTTTAAAAAAAAATAATTATTTAAGAAGTAGATAAGAGTTGTTTCTTAAAAAAAATTATTTATTATAAAAAATTAAAAAAAATAAGTTTAGATAAATACATAAATAAAATAAAATGTTTATTTTATTAAAAAGAAGCATTTTTAGAAGAAAAAAAAAATTACAAACAGACCTAATCACCATTGTACTACAAACCAGACCCTAATCTCACATCCAGATATCTGTAATTAAAGTCCTGTGACCGATCACTCAGTATTAACAATGATAGTTTGTTTGAATGAACTTATCTTAAGTTTTTACAATAAATTACGATTTTGTCAGTTTGACATAGCACAAGTTCCCTTTTAATTAGTTGTTTTACAGTTAACAACTAATTAAATGGTTTTTTTTTTCTTACTACTCGTGAATACAAATATGTCTTTTTATTGTTGATAGAGATAGATTCCTATCCGAGTCCTCATCAGAATCAGATCGGAATTGTTATATGTTGAAAGAAGTCTAACCATGGTTGATTGAGCTGAAAAATTCTCAAATTATGATTTGAGCGTAAATTTGTCTTCTAACTTACCCTCGAATATTAATTCTGGTATTTTCACCTACAAATTTTCAAGGAAAACCAAACATGCCAACTCCTAATCTTGAAAGCAGACAACACACATTTTGAAGAATGCCGCCAGCCATATTTGATCTTGTGAGGAGTGGTAAAAATACATTTTTTTAACTCATTTTTATTTTCAATTAATATTTAGTTGAAGTCATAAAATAGTGAGTCATGTTCTTTATTTACCTGACATGCAACTTCAAGCAACATGATATATTGACCTTAATTAAAATAAATCATATGGAGGACTTTTTAAATCCTTTTAAAGATAGCAATGAGCAGGATATAAAGCACAAATATTTTGGCATCCACCCCCTGTTTGGTTATCTGATGAACAAGAACTCCAGTGTTTGGTCCATCAAAGCCAGAGTATTTCAGCCAGAGAAGGTTTTACTTAAACATTCAAAGCAATGTTTGCTTTTTTATGAAATTTAGCTGGAAACTTGTGCAAAAATTCTCAAAATTGTCCCCAATTATATACATTATCTTGACCTTATTACAGGTGGAGACAAGACTTTAGTTTTTTTCAATACTATTTATATACATATAAGTAACAAGCTTTAGACCGAATTTGAGAAATATCGGTATTTCAAGACCGAATTATGGTCAATTGAACATATGTAATATCTAATTAGGATGGTAGTAGGAATAACATAAAGGAGGATGAGATGATAATGCTAAGATATAGCCAATTGTTTTGTCCTAAGACTACAGAAACTGGTTCGTCTAATGTTTTTTAACTAGAACCATGTTTGAAGAAGTTTCAGTCATTCATGAGTTATAGAAGTCTGACAAATATAGTAAATCCTCATTCCAATTGTTTGCTTATCTTGAAGTGATTCAAATAATTTTTCAAATAATAGAAGCAATCAAATGTTAATTTCTTTTGACATTCTTTAAGTAAATTGTTACACTACACTGGTAAACTTGATTTGGTCAATAAAGTACATGGGCAAAATCCTATTCTGAAAGAGAGCATATGGGTGAAGGTACAGGTCATCATCAAATATATCACTCCTCAAGTAAATCATACTGGAATACACATCCTCCTATTCCATCAATATATTCACTACAATTTTTTTAACAAATTAATCACTGAACCACTTGTTAGACTAACACGAGTTCGAAATATCTATACATTAGGAAGAAAATAATCTCATTTCACAACCACTTCACTTTTGTTAAAATAGTGGAGGGCAATCAATAAGAATCATTCCATTGTTCAAACCAAATGCTTACTACAGAAATCAAAACCCATGCACAAAAGAAATTAATTAACTTGGTGGATATCATGTATGCAAAGTAAAAAATTGTTTGCCACAATCCAAGGTTATGCTACCATTAAAACTCTTCACTCCAGCTAAAAAAGATGACTATTATGACTTACATCAATAAACAGACGCTTTTATTTCAGATAATCAAAACATATTAGCCAAAGAGACATTAAGACACAGCCACTGAGCGTAAGTAGCAGAAAAAGAGTGAACCTGTCTCAAAAAGGCTGTCCTCTCCAAACGAGAAGACTCTATCTCATGATCTCATCCAACTTGCCTTTCACATAACTCATCAGAATCAAAGGCTCCATAGAATAGCAAACACTCACCTTGTTCCCTGGAACATATATCACTGCCATTTCCGCTAGACACATCATGATGACGGATTTCAATTCTTAGATGAGAATACCCTGAAATATGAAAATGAAAATTAAGTAGCATAACAATAAATTTTAACAGATAAAAAAATAATAAATTAGAGTTGAAACTCAGAGCAAACATCCAGGTTTAACAGCAAATCTTCCACTAACGGAAATTTAATTTCCAACCAGACAACATTGAAAAATTATAACATAATTGCATTTCAAGAGTCTATGTGCAGATCAGGGGCTAAACGACCATTGTGGGGTACTATTAGAAACTTATTACCAAAATGTGGCTGTTTTGAAACATTTTACACCTTTGGGGCTCTTTTGGGTGTCGTTATGGCCCATAGCGACACCCATGACATGTGGCATTTTTTGGTCTGAATATGAGCCATGAACGCCATATTGGTAGAGTCGCTGTAACTGGTGGAGACCTTCAAAGAGTCGCTATAGCCTATAACGACTCAAATCGGCTAAAAATGAAAAAAAAAAAATTATTTGGGGCGCTATAGCCCATAGCTCCACTCAGGCGCTATGGGCCACAGCGCCTGTATTAAAAATATATCTAATATTTTTAAAATATATCTTATATTTTTAAAATTTAATTTTTTTTTATAAATTTATAAAAAAATAACAGATAAAAGGGAAAAAAAAGATTGAAATA